AAGACCAAGGAGGAAGATAAGGCTATTATCTTGCTGGTCTCCTTACCTCCATCATATGAGCATCTCAGGACTACTCTAATGTACGGGAAAGATACTCTTGGACTGGATGAGGTAGTTGCTATACTTATTTCTCATGAAGCGATGAAGAAAAGGGAAAGCGGCAAATACCTAGAAGGAAATGCCATGGTTACATAAGAAAATAATCGAAGCAAAGGTAGGTCCAATAAGAGACGGGGTAGATCCAAATCAAGAAGGCGTTTGCAATCAAGGCCAGGCTACAAAAGAAAGTGCTATTATTGTGATAAGGAGGATTACCTTATCAAAGACTATGCAAAACTCAAGGAGGACAAGGAAAACAAGGAACAAGCAAGCTCATCAAATGTCATAGTTACAGTGAATGCTAAGGATGAGTATGCATTCACAGTTTCGTCAAGTATGACGAAACTTGATTGGATTTTAGGTTCCGGAAGTACATACCATATATACATGGACAAGAGACTTTTTTCCACCTACCAAGCGAAGGACGGAGGTATTGTTCGGGTGGCTAACAACACTATAAGTAAAATTGTTGGCATGGGAATAGTATGGCTCCGAATGGAAGATGGAAAAATTTTCACATTGGATGGAGTTCGACACGTGCCAAGGCTGAAGAAGAATCTAATTTCCTTAAGTATGCTAGTCTTGAAGGGTTACAGCTTCTCATCTAGTAAAGAAAATATCAAAGTTATCCATGGAGATATAGTGATGCTGCATGGACAACTAGAGGGGAATCTGTACAGACTTGTTAAAGAGGTTATGACAGAAGGAGCTACTGTCACTTACCGAGCAAGAAGTACAAGACACGCGCCGAAAAGACATAAGGTTTAGCAGGCATGGCAACCAAAGTGTACAAGAATGCATGGAGGCAGTTTGAAGGTGCATAAAACGGAGCCATTGCGACCAATATTAATTGAGGAAAGCTCAAAGCAAAGAGACCAAGACAACAAAGCACGTCCCAGGGAAGAAAAGAATTTCTTTTGCTCCTGAATCAGAGACATATTATGATCTCTCCAAGACTAGATGAAAGAGAAAAATGCAATCACAAAGAGTTACAAAGTAAGCTTTGCATGGCACCCCAGTGAGGGGGTGCAGGGCACTCCAGGCATGGTGTGCTATTATGGATCATCCTATACGGGTGAATGGGGTGATTTGTTGAGTTCACCCATGTGGATAGAGGTAGCAACCATTGTTGACATTGGTTAGCATAAATGTAGAGAAGCCAACGATTGTTGATAATGGTGAGAGAGGAGCTAGGGAGACAAGTCGTCATAGAGAGGTGGCAAGCCATACCTTCACGTGGGAGAGGTATGGGTTGTTGTCTTCAACTCCCTCTATATATTTGAGTTAACTTGCAAAAGGAATAGGTACAAGAAAGGAAGAACACAAGTGATTTACAAGAGAGTGTATATCTTTGTGAGAGTGAGAGAAAAAACAAAGAGTGTGTGGCAGTAGAGAGTGTGTGAGTTGGGTGAGAGTGTCTCTTCCTTTGTATAATCTCTATTTGTTTTAGTGGAAGTCTCTAGTTCTCTCCGTGGACGTAGGCATTGAGGCCGAACCACTTAAATCTTATGTCCATTATTGTGTGTTTGATTTTTGATAGTTCAAGTGAGTTGGCCTTAAAACCCAACATGGACTACACTAGCCTAGTCTCCTTATATTCTGGATAGACCTTTTTCATTGTAGCAGTCCCAGTAGCGTAGTCTATTTGTCACCTTCTCAAGCTCATTTCACATGTTCTTGATATTTGCTTAAGTCTTGGTCAACCATGTCCAACCTAGGCCTGCACCTCTGTTCGATCTATAGCGCCCATCAATCTCAATTTGCAGAGTAAATCAGGCTTGAGTCGCTTGGGGCATTCGTCTTATAACCTTGCTAGGCCCAAGTCACTAGGTCTCTCTCGGCTCGGTCCAAATAAAGAGCTTGACCTGATCTAGGCCTTGCTCTAGTTATATTGAGCCTCTTCACATCACATATTAACTACTACACATTTCTCATTATTTTTTGAATAACAATTTTAGCTCAATTTAGTTTCATAATCCCTCAATTACAACTCAATTTATATAAAGTAATACTAAAAAAAATAAAAATAAATTCAATTTTAGAAAATAATCAATAACTACATATTAATTTCAACACATAATCAACAATTTTAGAGAGATTTCAGCAAATAATCAATGGTTATAAGATGAACTAGTAAAAAATTTTAAAATGTCAATTCAATTCATCACATACATTGAAATTTTGAAAGCGAAAAAACCTCCCACAATGCTTGGATTATAAAATGGTCAACAAGGTTGGTTTTGACCCTATCTGTCGTTTTGTTCTAATTTGGTGATGTCCGTTTTCACTTTACGCATACAAGAGTGGGTTGTGAAGTTGTGTTATTATTTAGGATCTGGGTTAGAGCTTGTTGGAGTTAATATTATATTATTTAAATTATCAAAATATATGAAAGATATTAAAATATATCAAGATTTCATGATTTGTGCTTATTATGATTTTTTGTATCTTTAATTTATTTCAATTCCTTAATTGAAGAGATTTGATTGTATCTCCCACACTCTCTATATATATACATATATGTACCGTGTAAATAAGGGTATTAAGTTGAGTGAATGAAAGATGTAGCTCATAGAACTTTGTGTGTGTGAATATAGGCTAATATTGGCGAACCATGTTAAACTTATATATTATTTCTTTTAACTTTTTTATTTTTATTATCTCTCCATATTCAACCATATTATCTTATTACAAAAATCAACTTTGCATCAAAGCATACTAAGCCCTAAGCATATTTATCTCTAGAGTGCTTTCTCACTCCACATTTTTTTGTTATCAAGTTGTTTTTTCCTTTTCTTGAGTTGACCACTGATTTGCTAATGTGGTAAGCAAATTTTGTGATTTTTACTTGTTTCAAGACTACTGGTGTATTCGGTAGCAATATTTTGCGATATGCTGAGTTTCTGGCCTATTTGCTTTCATTATTCTCATTCACCATGGGTAACCATTTAGGGTGGTGGTTGTTGATATGATAAGCTATGATTTCATTTTTTTGGGGGCATATTTGGGCCAACTGGTGTGTTTGGTAGCATTCTTTGTGGGACACTGCTTCTCCGAGTCTTGTTTGTTTTGTGATATGCCGTTCTTCCAGTTTTTCTGTTTGTGGTGATTTGCCATTGTTTCGGCCTTGTTGCTTTCTCTCTCTCTCTCTCAGTTGGTTTCTCTTGTCATCATAATTGATTTCATACACATTTATTTGTTGCAAGATGTTGATTCGTTGCCAATGCTCTGATCTCCGAAGTCGTCATTGAAGGGAGTTATTACAATTGTTGTCGTTTTTCGACAACTTAATTGTAGTTGTTCATGATGATCATCATATTTTTGGATTCAATTTGGACACTTCACTTCAACTGTTCTGTGTTCCAATTTGAGAGGGAATGTTGGAGATAAGATTATATTATTAAAGATATGAGAATATATGGAGATCTCATGATTTGTGCTTATCATGATTTTTTATATCTTTGATTTATTTCAATTTTCTTAACTAAAGGAATTTGATTGTATCTCTCACTTTATATATATATAAGGTAAACAAGAGTATGAAGTTGAGGTGAATAAAAGATGTATCCCATAGGACTTTGTGTGTGTGTGTGGATATAGTCCAATATTGGCCGAGCCACATTAAACTTTTTTATTCTTTCTCTTATGTTTTCTGTCTTTATTATCTCCATATTCAACCTTATTGCCTTATTACATAATTCAACTGAGCTTAACCCTCATTCCTCTTCATATGATAAGCCACTCCCATCTTATGATCTCTCTCTCTCTCTCTCTCTCTCTCTCTCCCTCTCTCTCTCTCTCTCTCACACACACACACACACACAAAGTCATTGCCCCGTTCTAAAACACATCAGTTGTTGTTACCTTTTTGTTTTTTGGCCAGGTTTGGTCCTGAAGCTCATGAGGGGCTTTGTAGGCTGGGTTTTTTTTTTTTTTTTTTTTTTTGTGTGTGTGTGTGTGTGTGTAGTTTTTAGTGCTGAAAATGTCTCTTCTTGCATTAGGAAGTGGGGTAAGCACCTTTCGTGGACATAGATGCACAAGCAGCGTATACTTTCACAGGGGCAGGGTTGTCCTCGGGAGGATCATCTGGAGTCACTCATATGCAGTGCAGGGTGTACTTTTTGATGCCTGGCTTGGACAAGTTTGTGCATGTGAGGGAGTCTTCGTGGTAATGTGGCTGGAAACGTGCTCTTGCACATTGAAGTAGTGTTGTCCTTTTATTGTTGTGGGATTTATTGGGTTAATAGGTTTGAATACAGATGTTATCTATTCATATTGATGTTCCAGTGCTCATTTTTTTAAGTACTACATACACGTACTCTTTTTAGTTGAAACATGAGTTATAACTATTTGGAATTGGATAGGAAGTAGTACTACAGAACTATTATTATTTGTTATTTATTAGAAGCATATATTTCCACTTACGAAGACAAGGAAACCACCTTCACTAAAAGAGCAAGAGTAAAATCTTAGAAGACATCCCTTAAACATTACCTAACAGCTTAGCCCTCAAAAGTTTCTCACCCTTTGTGACCACCATTCCAGTGGACGCATTTTGAAACTGGTCTTTGCCCTCCGCGACAAAAGTGTACTCTTCCCGGGCAATTGAGGCAGTTTTGTGCAAGACTGCCCCTGATCCTTGCTGCATTATTGCTGAACTGAGGTGGCAGACTTCCCACCAGAAAGTTGTGATCCAAGAACAAACTTCTCCATTTGTTGGCCATTTTTTGCCCGTATTCCACTGGAATTTGCCCAGAAAATTGGTTGTTCCCCAGATTGATTGCTGTTAAGTTGTCATAAGTGACTAAATTCATAGGCAAATGACCCTGCAAACAGTTACGATACACATCAAGCACCTCAAGCTGTGTAGCTCTCCCAGAATTTTTCATCACCTCCATCATTCAGAAGCTATTAATCGAAAGGTTTACATGATTCAAATTAGGTAATGTGAGGATTTCATGGCTTATTGAACCAGAAAACCTGTTAGCACTCAGATCTAATGCTTGGAGGCTTTTAAGCCTCGCTACTGGTGAAATACTGCCAGAGAGAGTATTGTGGCCTAGTAAAAGTGTTCTTAAGTTTGGAGGAAACTGTGACAAATTCCCAGAGAGGTGGTTCCCACTAAGATCTAAGGTGTCAAGCTGCCATAATCCAATGACTACAGGGATTCTACCAGTGAATAGATTGTTCGACAATTTTAAGAGGGTTAAGCTTCTGAATTCAGAAAAAAGCAGTCTCGGGATTGAGCCGGACAGTACATTGTGTGAAACATCCAGAACCTTAAGGCTCTTGAGCCTATCGATTCTTGGAGGGAGATTGCCGGTGAAAAAATTTTCAGAGAGTGAAAGTGTGGTTAGCTTCACTAGATTGGTAATGGTAGTTGGTATGGGGCGTCTAAAATTGTTCTTGTTGAGGTTAAGTGTGGTGAGCTCTGAGAGGTTACCGATTGCCGGTGACAAAAATCCATCACATCCAGCTTGGTCGAGATTAATTGCTAGTACTCGGTTGCTGCTGCTTGAGTTGTCAACAGGAACTGTGCATAAGATTCCTAGAAAGTGTGGCCCCGGATTCTCGCATGGATCCATCTGAAAGTTCCAAGTTTTAAGAAATGAAGATGCTGGAATTGTGTTGGAATCAATTGCTTGCTTCACGCTGTGAAGAGCATCTATATCCGATTGTAGAGTCACCGACTCAACCAACACCACCAACCATGGAATGAAAATCAAGACTATGGTGATAGGGACTGCGAACAAGCAAAAAGCAGCAAATGTGGAATGCATTGGCCTGGCCATTAGATCAAGGCTACGGGATGCCATCTCAATCTCAATCTCAATCTCAATCCTGCTGGTTACTGGTTTTGGAATTGAATTGGCTCTTCCAAACTCTTAATATTGAGCATTTGGCAAGGAGGTGAAATAAAGATCATTTCCTAGTCTGAATAAATAAAAGCTCATTTCAAGAACCTGTACGTGAAAGATTATTTCAGACTAAAGTTTCAGTGAGCATGCCAAGAAATTGGGGGCACAGAAAATCATATATCCTGAAAGTTGGTTGAAAGCATGGAAAGTGTCGCATGATAGAACCTGTACGTGGAAGACTTTTATCAAATAATATTAGTACCCCATATAATATTATTAAGGCAGTGGCTTCTAATCAAATTTGATAAATAAATAAAATTCGAAATTCATGTTATGGCATTATTGTCACACCCCAAATCCGGGCATGACCGGCCGTGGCCCACAGGGACTTAGCCCAAGGCACACGTAAGCCTAAACACGAATCCAATCACATTGAACAACTGAACAATAGTCCAATAATAAATAACCAAAACTCAATCCAGACATGCCACAATTATAAACGGCAAAATCAACCGCAATCAAAAACCATCCAAACTTATGGGATATAAACAACCCACATATAAAAAATAATCCTAAATGAACTTCGATAAGAATAAATATAAATATGCACAAACTTGACATAACACTCTAAACAAAAGGAATGCCCTAGAGGTCCATGCAATTGAGTCCCCGCTACGCCATGTATGATAATTTCTCTCATGTACTTTCAACTGTCATGAGCCATACATTACTACTTTCCTCTCTTGCATTAATACACAACCTAAACCTTCCCGAGACGCATCACAATAAACCAAATAACCCAAATCCCTCTCTGGAATAATCAAAACTGAAGCAATGGTAAGTCTAACCTTAAACTCTTGAAATGACTTCTCGTATGTCTCACTCCACACAAATTTAATTCCCTTCATCATCAATCTAGTCAATGGTGAGACCAGTCTAAAGAAGTCTTTTTACAAAACGTCAATAATACCCAGCTAAGCCCAAGAAACTTTGGATCTCAAAGGAATTCTTAGGTTGTTCCCAATCTTGCACTGCAATATCTTAGATGAGTTTACAGTTACCTTTCACCATATACCACATGGCCTAAGAACTTAATTTCTTTTAGTCAAAACTCACACTTCCCGAACTTAGCATATGACCAATGTGCTCTAAACGACTCAACTATAACCTGTAAGTGTTCATTGTGTTTCTCCTCAGAAGGTGAGTAGATTAAGATGTCGTCAATGAAGACAACCACGAATCGGTCTAAGAACTCACGAAAGACTCAATTCATCAAGTCCATAAACAAAGCCGGCGCATTAGTCAACCCAAAAGGCATCACTAAGATCAAACAAATCATCTATTCATAGCAATGGGTACTTGCTCCTAACAGTTACCCAGTTCAACTTCCGATAATCAATGCACAGTCATAATGTGCCATCTTTCTTCTTAGCAAAGAGAGTTGGTGCTCCTTAAGGCAATGTACTAGGGCAGATGAAGCCCTTATCTAATAGCTTTTGGAGCTGAATCTTCAACTTACACAACTCAGTGGTGCAAATCTATATGGTCCCATAGAAATTGGTGTCGTGCTGGGCACTAAGTCAATTGAGAACTCAATCTCTCGGTGGGGTAGCAAACTAGTAAGATCTTCGGAAAAAAACATCCGGGTATTCACAAACTACCCTCAGCAAAATTAACTTGGACCACATCATTCTCACTACCCAAGAAAGTTGCAAGAAGACAACTAAGCTCGCCCCGACCACGAGAGTCATATACTAGTGACAAAACTCTATCCATTCAGTCCTCCAGAAAATGAAAACAGTCACCACTCGAGATGCACATTGTAACTCTTTGACGGTAACAATCTATAATAGCACGGTACGAAGACAACCAATCCATGCCCAAATCTACTGTAAAAATTTCAGATTAAAATTCATCCGTTTGATATGGTTTCTTGATTTTTAAAGTTAGCGATTATGTGCAGAATTTTTGGACTAAGATTCACACCGATTCTTTATACATGAATTTAACTCCTTAGATTTCTTAACAGCATATATATATACACAAAATACATACACCTACAATCTCTCCATCAATGAATTAAATAACAATATTATTAGGATAAAGAACAAAGAAAGAAGAGAAGAAAACCTAGGAAGCCACACAGCACAACACACCCAAAGCTCTCCTTCTTGGCTACGACAATAATCTTGATGATTGAAAAACCCCTCTCTTTTCTTCATAAACCCACGGCTGCTAGGGCTGCTAGTGTTGTGGAAAACAATTATAACAAGAGTTAGGGTTTGTGTTTATTTTATTTTATACTAGTTGTGGGCACACTTAGGTCAAATAGATAGATAAATATACAAAATACATATATAAGTTACATGCAATTCAAATGGTAAGAGTCTAACTTATTAATTTTGTGGTCTAGAGTTCAAGTCACCCCCTCTTCTCTATTTTTTTTTTTTTTTATAATAAATCTTGCTTCTCAATCAATGACTTTCACCATAAATTTATTTTAGGTTTAAAATTAATTAAAAGATCCTCTAATAATATTTAATTTGCACTTAAAGATTCATAAAAAAATATTTGAGATTGTAAAATTATTATTTAATTATTTACTTAATTTTTATATTCGGGTTCTCACAATTATTCTTTTAGTATTGTTATGGCAGTGGCTCTTCTAATCAAATTCATTATATAGCGTTATTCTTTGGAAAGTGGGTTGTTTTTTTTCATCATTTGTTTGATGCACCACCCCTCTGCCATCACCACAACTATTATTCCTTTATTACGACTTCACTATTATAATATTAGACACCTCACTCCTACAATATAAAAATTAGTAGAGAAAACCCAAAAATATTAAATTTTAAATCTCATCTTGTATACATATCATACAACTTATTTTAACTCAACACTGAAATTTTTATCAAATAATTTTTCAACTTAAAAATTTCAATATCAAATTTTTATTACTTGATTTTCAGTTTTATCAAATACCTTCTAATTCTTGCTAACAAAAAATATCTAAAAAGGAAGAATAAGAATGCATAAAACAGGAAAACTAAATATTAATAAGAAAAAAGGATCCTAATAATTACAATATAATCAAGATATTCCTAATCAACTATTAATTTTAAATTTGATTTTTCAAAAATAATTTTCGAATTTTCAATCTATATATTCCTTGATTTTTAGTAAAATTTTTAAATATTTCAATAATTATTATTTTTTTTAAACTTTTATAGATCTACTTAATCTATAAATACGAAAACAAAAAATAAAAAAATTCAGTACATTATTGTATCTTTTCTTTCCTTCTTTTTTTAAAAAAAAAAATTTCACAAAACTTAACTTTTTATGTACATTTAGAGTAGGTGCATCTAAAAATTTTAAAAAAAAAAAAAAAAAAAAAATTGACTAAAATATAAAAAATGTTCACTAAAGACAATAAAACTCAAAAAACCTATTTTGGAAAATTTAAAACCAAATAGCGTATTGATCTCTTCCATTTTTATTTGCATTAAGGCCTCGTTTGGCAACTACATGTTTTAGCCAAAAATTAAAAAGTCACTATAAATTGTCATATCACTCTCTCTATTTTTCTGCAAATTTTTTCATAAAAAATGAGAAAATTACTAAAATAACTTGCTCCCAAATGAGACGTAAGTATACTAGTAATAATTCTACAACACATTTGAATGACCACATTTTTATATTTGGTTTATCATCTGAGTTGTAACTACTATATTGAAACAGACACAAACAATGAAACTTACTAAATCATTATAGTATAATGATTTCAATTCACATGAAATATCAACTATGATATAAAAATATAACCATTTTAGTATATATTACATAGTGGTGGTGCATGCGAGTTTTCTTGGTAAAGACATTGAAATGATTCCAGCAAGCACACCATTCTCTTGCTCTTGAATACTTTGGCTAAGTTCCACTTTCCATTTGGCTTCACAACATCACCGTTCATTGGTGTTTCTTAGACCGCATCCTTTTTCTGCAACCAACTACACCAAATCTCCTTCTTTCAAATTCTTGGACTTAACCTTATTGTTGAAAGCCTTGGCAATTCGTCGTAAAAAAAAAAAAATTCATCTTTGGATTTTGATAGTTGTGTCAGACCCAACTAGTTGAGGATTAAAATTGAATGCTAACATGTTATTTATGAAGGTCATAGTGAGTATATATACAAATAGCATATAAATACGTCAACGAAACTACATACAAAGCCAATGGTATAAAGACTATGCCTTTGTATCTGAATATTCAAATACCCCAAGTAAACTACAAGAAAAAAGAAAAAAGAAAAAAGAAAAAAGAAAAAGAAAAAGAAACTTAAAAAAAAGAAAAAAAGAAAAGGCTGAAATTGGATGCTTATTTATCCTATTGTGTCTGTGTTGTGCAAAAAACGATACACATGTGATCCGAGTAGTCAATCCCCAATTTGCCATGTACTTTGATGCCACTGGCATATCTGTTACTAGTGCCATCTCAGTGAACTAAATGGTGCAGCAGAGCAGTCACCAACAAGAACATTATAGCCCTTTGGGAGCTCTTACTCCAAGCAGAAAACAGGTAGTGAGCACCTACCAGATGTACTGATCCTGTCAGTTCATCTTGTAATTTAATGCTTGAAGAGCCTGAAATCCACCATAACGGAAAAAAAAGAAAAGAAAAGAAAAGAAAAAACAGTGATTTAAGCAATTCCTTAGATTATTGTAACTTCAATTTAATTTGGTCTAACATTTTAAAGATCCAAACAGGATTCAACATCAATCATTTTAAAAGCATCACAGTTCACATTTAAAACTAAAGCACCAAAGTCAGATATCATAGTGCTGGGCATTGTTGACTAAGCAAAGCTTATCCTAAAGCTATTTTGTACTTGGACATAGTAAATCACTCAATCCTTATGCACTAAGTGAGAT